CCAAAGCGCAACTAAAGCGCAACCAAAGCGCAACTAAAGCGCAAGTCAAAAAGCGCAACTAAAGCGCAAGGTGACGCGGCAAATTTTTATTGGCTGTCCGAACTTATCTTTTGGCTCCGGTCACCTGACCCAATAATTTGCCGACAAAAAGAGCTCGGCTCTGGACTCCTAAAAAATGAGCTAAGAAGAAGAAGAAATATACGAAAAGATTGAATGAGCAGTTTCTGACCTTGGTTCTATTCTTGCTTTATAGGATTCACATAATTGAAAGTCCCAAATTCTGCATGAATCGCATCATTCCTTCTCGCCATTCTCCTATTCCTCCGACGCCGATGATCCGAAGCAAGTTATAAAGCTCCCGACTGAAACCCTAGAAAAGACGGGAAGATATCTTAAGAGATCTTTGAAGAGGAAGAGCAGCAAACTCCTGCCAATCAACTAGGAACGGTAGATGAAGATAATGCACACCGCCTCAATTAAATGCCTAAATATACGTTGGATGAAAGAACAATAAGCGGGAATGAAAACCTATTCGCAATTTCGCATGATGTCTCTCTTTGCGCCAAATTGCTCTTTTAGCGTCAAATCCCGCCAAATTAGAATATGCCTTAATATATATTTTTAAAGACACTTAAATAAAAGTGTCTTAATAAAGATGTCATTAAAAGTTATTTTTTTGTAATGTGTGCAACTCCTCACAAGAATATACCATGTTGCTCAGCTGCATTCATATTTTTTGTGTCATGCAAATGCCCACGACTTACTAATAAATCTCTTAGGCTTATGAATGCATCTGGAGATAGCCTAAAGCATTGGTACGCTCGGCCCGGATGGCCAACAAGCACATCAATTACATATCGATGTCCAGTGTATGACATATTAAACATATGCCGCCTGATTGATTGTTCATCATCCGAAGAAGAGCTTTCTTATATTAGAGATGGAATAATTTCAGCAATAACATTGTTGACTTGAATTTGTAATTCAATCATGCCACATAAAACATCTAACAGTACTCCACGCAAATAGTTAGACATGGCTGCATAAAAAAAAAGATACCAACATCATTATTCCAAATCAATTAAAGCATCGTACAACCAAATAACATGAAAGAAAAGATTACAACATTAACCAAACTAATCAACACAAACAACATATATCAATCAAAGTTAATCAAACAATTACAACCAAACTTTTGACGAGTAAAAACGAGGATGCATGCTAACAATATATTATATCCACTCATTTAGGACATCGCCTTCCCAAGTCATCAATATGGCTTTGTTATCTATGTTCTCTTTAAGTGCATCATGAATGGCTAAGAGTGCTTATGTTGTAAGATTCTCAAATTTGCCTAACTTGATCAAGAAATCACGCATACTATACAGATTCGTTTTTTCAATTGTCTCTCTAAAGACAATGGCATTATTGTTTGACTGAAGTAATAGTTCATTAAGATTTTGCAACCCATTTTTCCTTTTCAGTTGGTTGGCTTCTCGCTATATCTTTTTGTACGTATCGTTGGACTTGGGTCCATTTCTACACTTGGATCTACATCGATGGTTTGAGGTTGGTCGTCGGGTGGCGTTCCGTTCATGTCATAACTGACACCGTTAGCAGCTAGGAAATCATCCTCAAAGTGTGGAGCATCTTCCTCACTATTTAAGTTAACCACTGGCTCAGACATCTTACTACATCTCGCATCACTTCCCACTGTAGTGTTCTCGGCACAAATCTTATCAAATATTTCATACTGATGGAAAGGGTGCCTTCTAAATCGAGCTACCTTTGGGTTAACCTAGAAAAATGAAGTTTTGTTGATTTAGATTCATAAAATTTATGAATTATGTGTAATTGTAAAGAACAAAATAATACCTATTGAATTTCATCACACAACTCGTCGGTAGCTACAGGGATGTGTAATTCCTCGTCCTAACCCCATCCGCTACAGTTTGTTAGTTGATATGGTGTTATAAAACCAGCCTTCATATTTTTAAATCTTATCATTACGGACGAGTTAATATAGTTTGTTTTAAGACGCATGTTTAACACAGCAACTAAGCTAGCCCATTGGTCCTTTCGCATATTCCCATTACAAAAATTGCCATTAACATATTGTTCCAATAGCAACTCACCAAGTATGACATTATGATCTTCTGACCACTTAGGATTTCGAGTTGTGCTTTTGGGCATGCCAGAGTAAATTGAGATGTCATCACCATGACGACGTGGCTTACTACTGCTTGCACGTCCAACTCCTTTGCCTTTTAGAAATTTATGCATTGCAGTCAGACATTAACGAGGATATTATTTCTATGAAATTTAAAAGTTGTGCAAATAAGTAAATTTTTTTTTAGGTTTTCTTTAAGAACTTTTACCAGTCTTACATAGGTAGATAACATTTGATGACTCGTTGTCGCTCACACTTGCTACATTCATATCGACGAAACCTAGATTTTTATTACAAGAGCATATATTCTCATTGTGTTATATTTGTCAATCAAATTAGTACAATACTTTCGATAACTCTAAAAACATGCTACAATTCTATAAGGACAAAGTTCAACTAAAGATCAAGACTTGAAGCCAAATTATATCATTGCTGCCTAAATAAATGGTATTACCTTGAACTTCAAATGAAATGCCAATAGTTCAATACACAACAAGAAAAAAAAATTAAAAACATTTTCAACAAAATTGTTGCCACAAACATACATTACAAAGAGCCATATTCATCATTTGTACACTCAATTAATTTTTTTTGGAATGAACGCATAAAATTTGGAATACAGTACTTAAAATGCTTGGAAGCATATATCAGGAATGTGACAATAGAAATTGCTCTATGTCGTGCTCGTGAAGAAAAAAAAATGATATGTTCGCTCTGTCTCGCTCGGGAAACAGAAAAAGAAAAGTTCATCTTCGCTATGTCGCTCTCAGGAAGGGAAAAAAATGGCAGGTACCTGCGCGACCTTGAGCGAGATCCGGCGAGAGTGCTTCGGGAGAGCGCTAGGGCGCGGCATAGGATGAAGAAGAAGTGATGTAGTGGAAGATTCGACCTGCAAGAAGGATTTTTGGCTCCCAATAATCCAGGGAAGAAGAGAAACAAGCTTCAAAAGCTTTAAAATGATCTAATATTCATCAATGCCTTTCTCCTCTTACACATTTCCTATATATAATGCCAAAGTAAGGAAAAACTAGAGAATCCTAGAAGATTCTAGAAAACTTATAACAAACTACATAAGCTATTCTAAGGGACACTTTAGACTTAAAATGCTCCGCATCATTCTCCCCTTGTGTCAAAAGAGCTCGACCCCGTCGAGGCGTGTTGTAGAGAGGGAGGTAGATGTAAAATTTATAATCAATCCACCTGGGTCGAATACTTTGCATCGCGGATCCATTGCTTCTCTTGTCCTAATTAAATCATTTTGGAATGCAATAAACCTTAGAAGTTGAAAAGGAACACCCATCTGCCATGCTTGAGATGCGGGAAGCAGCACTTGAAAGTGGCTGATGTGGGAGATAGATGTTGTCTTCCCTATAGGATGACTATCAAATGTCTTTTGTACTGTCTTGTCCTGAAAAATTAAGTCACTCTCAGCAAGGAAATTGTCAACACCCAATTGCCCGAAGTCATTAGCGACATTACATCGAGCACCTTGTGAGCATGGCATTGGATACGCTTTGTCAGCGGACTTCATATCAAGCATTTGCACATTGCCAGCGTCCAACTCCTCACAGGTTTGCATTAAATAAAAAACTGTGGGCAACACCTCATCCAAAAGCTCCATCGCAGAAGAGGACCCTTCGTTTTGAGAACCTAGTCTCATGCAGGACTTTAGAAACTTCATCCTGACTAAAAACTCTCTAAATTGTTGCGTGCTCCTCATATGCATGTCCACTTTTTGC